AGCGAAAAATAACCTATAAGTCGGAGCTGAATCAAAGACACGGAGTAGTTGGAAAGAAGCAACACTGGTTTCCCGCCCATTACATGTTATTATTTTGGATTTTAAAGGTGATGCAAAAGGTAACTAACTCTGGAGGACATAGCAAGCCTCAAGAATTAATCGGTAATACTTCTCACAGAGACCTTTTGATGAAAACATAAAACTGAAGATGCTAAAATGAAAGAATGTGAAATAATGTGGAAAGAGGAAACGGAGGTATTAGAGTATGAGAGAGAGGCAGTTAATCAAAAATGAAAGGGATGTAGCTCACGCTAGGCTTGGGATGGCAAAGAAAATTAGAAGGGGATTAGGTCCCAAAAGTAGAGTGAGTTCTTACGATCAAGAGATATCTCAAGTTCCGAGGTTTGAAGGGTTTAGTAATCCTTATGATTCCAGGCGATACGGCTTACGTGACAACGGAACATATGATGAAAACAAATACCAAGGCCGGAGTATAAATGCCTGTAAATATGGAGACCTTCCAGATATGCCCAGTTTGAATTTCATAGCAAAATGGACTCGTTCGTCAAAGAGATGCAAAAACCCAATATGGATATTGGGCCATTTGATGGTAACTCTCTTGACTTCAATAGATTTATGAGACGGTTTCGAACAAAGGTTCTAAACTACTGCACTTCCTTTGATGAACGTTTAAGCTACTTAGAACCATTTACCACAGGGGAAGCAAGAGAAAGAATACAAGATTTTACGAGCATGAATCCAGAAAGGGGGTATGAGGCAGCCTTGAAAGAACTTGAGGATTGTTATGGGAATGATGACGTTATGGCCCGGGCTTAGATCAAGAAGGCTCTGGATTGGCCAGTAATCAGGGGAAATGATGTTGGAGCTCTTGACAAATTTTCCATGTTTCTCGCAGGATGTGAGTGTGATATATTAAGTATGGATTCAGTTAAAACTTTAGGAAGCCCAGATAACATGAGAAAACTTGTTATGAAATTGCCATACAACATGCAAGAAAGGTGGTGTGCAATTGTCTGTGAGAAAGGTGATGCCTCTAAGCCTATAGTATTTTCAGACTTGGCAGAATTCGTTTCAGGGGAAGCCAAGAAAGCCAGGCATCCCATCTATGGTATAGAGCAACTAAATGAGGGTAAAACTAATAACCCTATGATGAAACAAGCATTTGCTACGCAAGTCCAAGAAAGGGAATTTGAGAGAAGTAGTGATGAAGACTACGAAAATGGGTGTCATCAATGTAAGGAAACCGTAGGCTACTTAACTGTAAAAGGTTTAAGGGATTTGAATATGAAAGTAAAGTTGAGCTAATAAGGGAAAAGAAATTGTGCTTCTCATGCTTGAGAACTGGTCGTGGTAACGCTCAATGTTTCAAGAAGGAAATTTGCCTTGGGTGCAGTGAAGAACAACCCACAATAATACATGTGGAGAGAATGTTTGATGAGGTTAACAAATACACCACTACAGGAGGAAATTGGTAATCTAAGGGCTGAATTCGAGAAATTAAGAATTGAAAAGATGACATTACAAAGGAAGTCTGAGCAACAAGAAGTTCAAAATCCCAAAGAGGTGGTAAACATGAATGCAGAAGCTTGCCATACATTGTCAGAGGGAACAGACAAAATGGTCGCCTTAGCAATCACATCAGGGAAAGTAAAATGGAAGAATAGTCACAAAACCACACAGACACTGGCATTCTTAGATCCGGGTTCAACTACAACTATTTGTTCAGAGAAACTAATGAATGAGCTGGAGTGTAAGGGAAAGGGAATCACATGCAACTTGGAGACCCTTAATGGGAAAAGGAAGGTGAGCTCTACGGTACTGAAGGATCTACAAATTGGTGCCTTGGCAGGAAGCGATTCGGTAGACTTATAAAATGTTCATTCTCAGTACAATATAAATATTTGCAGAGGGTTTATGTCTTCAAGGGAAGGCTTAAAAAAGAGGCCACATTTAAAGGACATAGAGATTCCACAATCCGATGGAGAAGTGAATCCGTTGATCGGAAACAATAACCTAGAAGCATATAGACCATTCGAAATTGTATCAGGAGAGGAATACTGCCCAATTGCTGCCTAAACAAGAATAGGTTGGGTAATATGGGGTCTACTGAAGTGACAGGGAGCGGATCTTGTAACATCTTACAAAACTGGTACGGCAGAACTTAGTAAGAATGAAGAACGAAAAGGGCTCGACCATTTGGTGAGAGAACTAATCAACCATGGAGTTCCCAGAACTGATAATAGATGATAAAGGGGAAAATTCATTAAAGGATAAGTTGTTTTTAAGTAAAGTTCAAGATTCAATGAAACTTGTGGATGGCAACTACGAGATGGAGTTACCATTCTATGACGAAGAGGTGACAGATTCCAAATAATCAGAAATATGCAAAATTAAGACTGCAGCATCTTGAAAACAGGTTCAGCAAAATCCAAGGATTTGCTTAAGAATATGCAGCTTTTACTGGCAAAATTAAATGACAATGGATACGTTGAACAAGGGCCCTGAATCAGAGATAAGCAGAAATGACGGAAAGGTATGGTATATTCCTCACCATGGAGTATAACCACCCAAGAACAGCGAAGTTGAGAGTGGTCTTTGATTTGCTCAGCTAAGTACTTAGATGACTCATTGAATGATCATTTACTTCACGGTCCAAATCTAGCTACCAAGCTTCACAACATGTTACTCAGATTTAGAAAGGAACTGTAGCCATCATGGGTGACATTGAGTGTGTTTTTATCAAGTTGAAGTTCCTGAGAAGCATAAGGATTTCTTACGTTTCTGTTGGTGGCCAAAGGGTGACTCGAACATAGAACCTAAAGTGTTTAGAATGACTGTACATTGGTTCGGTGCAATATCTAGCCCAGCCTGTGCTAATATGGCTTTGAGACAAGTCGTAATAGACAGTCAGGGGCTTTGGGATGATGAGGTAATGAAATGTATTAGTGAATACTTCTATGTTGATGATTGCTTGAAATCTGTACCAACGTCAAAAGGAGCTATTGATATGATCATGGATTTAAAAGGTTTATGCAAAAGGGGAAAATTTAATCTAAGAGACTGCATCAGTAACAGCATGGATGTACTGGAATCAATTCCAGTAGAAGATCGCATACATCAAATGGACACAGGTCTAGATATACAGACAGGGTTCCACGTGATGGAATTTGGAGGAGCCTCAGACTGAAAGGAGAGCCAGAGTATATTGTTATGTGCATACTGTTATGAGTATATTGTTAGAGGGTTGGAGAGAAAAGTTAGAGGATAGAGGACGCAGGATCAGCAGCAGACTGAAGACGGAATGCATGAAATGCCACTTCGGAGAGGAGGATGAGCAGGAGGTGGATTTGGAAATAGACCTAGAGGTACTCAGAGAGACTGATATCTTCACGTACCTAGGGTCTATGGTGTAGCATGATGGAGGGATGGAAGCAGAGATTACAAATAGGATACAAAGTGGATGGAGGAATTGGAGGAAGTGTGTTGGAGTAATGACGGAATAAGAGAATGAGCATGAGGCTAATGAGAAGGATCTACACTAGTGTAATAAGACCCGCACTCACCTAGGGAGCAGAGACCTGGGCAACCACCAAGAGAGAAGAGGAGCGCCTGGATGTGAACGAAATGAGAATGCTGCGATGGACTCGCGGGGTGGACAATAAGGGTCAGAGTGTCTAACCGCCACTTTAGAGAATCTCTACACGTCACTGAGGTGGCCAGGAAGTGAAAGAGAGATTAGTTTTGGTTTGGACATGTCGAGCAAAGAGAGGAGGAGCACTGCCCTGAAGCGTGTGTCATCAGGAAGAGGGGTCCCCGGAAGAAGAGGGGTGGGAGGACCAAGGATGAGATGGAAGGATTGTGTGAGCTGGGATATGAGGGAAGTAGGATTGAACAGAGAGATGGTCCAGGATAGAAACAACTAAAGGCGTCAACTGAGGGACTATTTCAGCGACCCCGTATAGTCGGGAAAAGCTTGTAGAAGAACATCTAGATATGCAGAATTTGCCCACAGAGGGGGCTCTTGGACTCGTGTGGTCGGTCACCACAGATAGCTTCGAGTTCAAAATAAATATAAGAGATAGAGAGGAAAATGGAAGAGGAACGCTGTCAATGTTGGTTCCTAGTGCGACCCCTTGTACAGAAGGGACTGATGTGGATGGGCCCATGCCTGATGGGGAATAAAAGGAGTATGGGAAATGGATAAAACCATAGATTCCCTGGAGAATACTAAGGTTCCAGGATGCTCAAGGAAAGTGCAAGCTGAAGGTGCTTATGTACAATTACATTGTTCGCTGATGCAAGCTATAGTGGGTATGGCGTTGCTATATATGTAAGACTCCAATACTCTGATCAGAGCATCGATTGTGCTCATGTGGTAAGGAAAATGGCGGGTCCTCATGTGGTGAGGAAATCGGGTCCTCATGTATTGAGGAAAATAACGGGTCCTCATGTGATGAGGAAAATAACGGGTCCTCATGCATTGAGGAAAATAACGGGTCCTCATGTGATGAGGAAAATAACGGGTCCTCATGCATTGAGGAAAAATAACGGGTCCTCATGTGATGAGGAAAATAACAGGTCCTCAGGTAGTGAGGAAAATAACGGGTCCTCATGCATTGAGGAAAATAACGGGTCCTCATGCATTGAGGAAAATAACGGGTCCTCATGCATTGAGGAAAATAACGGGTCCTCATGCATTGAGGAAAATAACGGGTCCTCATGTGATGAGGAAAATAACGGGTCCTCATGTGATGAGGAAAATAACGGGTCCTCAGGTAGTGAGGAAAATAACGGGTCCTCAGGTAGTGAGGAAAATAACGGGTCCTCATGTGATGAGGAAAATAACTGGTCCTCATGGGATGAGGAAATTAACAGGTCTTCATGTGGTGGGGAAAATAACGGGTCCTCATGTGATGAGGAAAATAATGGGTCTAATTAATGATCACAAAGTTTCTGCTAATATTTGAGCACTCCAGAGAAATCTGTGTTCATGCATGTCCTGCCCGTGCTCGTAATAGAGTCTCTGTTCCGTTTTTCTGCCGTATCCTTGCTGTTGCAGATCCCGAGAACATGATGCGATGCAGAGTTCCTGCCAGATTACTTCCCTGATGACTTCCCTGTGTGATGGGATGACGTCATGGAAAGATGTGTCCTGACTTGTCATCATAACTGATGTCTACGCCACTGCCTGGAAATCACTGCCTCCTTGGCTGACATTCATCGGTAGCAAAGGATCCTGTCTTAATAGTTGACATTCTGGTGCATAGTGATTTGTTTGATGACTGATACGTGAGGGTGCTTAATGAGTGGAGCCATGTTGCATCGGCATCCTAGTGAAACCTTTGGAAACCTGTAGATGGAAAACTTCGACGAGAACCTTCAGATAATTATTCAGCGAAAACACATACACATTTGCAGTACATAAACGATCGTTACCAAGTGTAAGGCATAATGTTTTTAGTCGCTGTCTTTGCCTGAGTGATTGCTGTATTCTGATCCTGGTATATATATGGTAGAACCTACAACGCCATAACACACATTGTATTGCTGAGTCCTGGAGAGGTTTTTTTTAATCTTGGCGGCCAAAAGTTCTGGGAGGAGTTCAATTTTTGTATACAAGAGGTTGCATTCTCTCCCTGTGACTGGGGCGTGGAGTTTTTTCCCTTGTCCGGCAGCAATACAGATGAGGATCATTATAACTGATCGTTAATTCGTGGGAGATCTGATGTTAGGTTTGCCCCTGTTGTTACTGATATAGAAACCATGAAGACAAGGCAAAGGGATATGAGAAAATATAGGATTCAAGCTGTGCTGTGCATCTGTGGTAACAATTCTCTGTCTAACTCATTTCGGAAGTGATGTATATGAGGAATATAGAAGAGCCTCTCGGGGGTGGCGGTCTATGCCAAAACCTGGACTATACCGTTCCCAGCGCCGGGCAAGAGTTTTGGTGTTGTTTGAGACACTCCGTGCTCAATCAATGGGGGGAGTGTAGCCGCTGTTATCAACATCGGCATGGGCGTACCCGCTGGCCATCAGCATCACGTGTATAACATCTGTAGCCACTGCCATCAGCATCGGCATGGCGTAGCTGCTGGCTTCAGCATCACGCGTACATCATCCCCTCTAGGACTTGGTTGACGGTTTCTTCATGGGTTGCGATAAGGATAATGCCATGGCCGTGTTCCTCCATGTGTTTGTATGTGCTGAATTAGGCCTTGTCCCTAGTGTTGACGTATAAATGAAGGAAGGGCGTCTCACGAAAGGGGGGCCATCACAGGTTATAGAACAGTTTGAGAGTGAATACTGGCTCGACAAACACGTACATAAGGACCGATCTGTGGACTTCTGTTAAAGGCCTTGACTGTTCCCGCTATGCGTATGTATCATACACATTCATGTATAGATATACATTAGTGTCAGTGTATGTTGTTGCTTACCTAAAGCAGTAGGGTATAATGACATTCTCAGCAAACAGTAAAATGCATGTATGTATTATAACTACTGATATGATCTTGTTAGTGAATCTAAGTCGAAATGTAACAGCAATTATAATTATTATTGCATGATTGATATTGTATTGATTATGTATTGATTGCAGGTTTGACCGCATTCAAATAAATTGAGAAGCGAGTACGACGCAGTGGTATCAGTCACCTCGAGTTAACGCAAATAATCTAAGCGCGTGAAATGGCGCTTACAGTGTGTGTGTGTGTCTGTGAGTGTGTGTGTGTGTGTATGTGTATATATATGTATATATATATATATATATATATATATATATATATATATATATATATATATATATATGTATATATATATACATATATATATACATTTGTGCATGTGTATATATATATATATATATATATATATATATATATATATATATATATATATATATATATATATATATATATATATATATATATATATATATATATATATATATATATATATATATATATATATATATATATATATATATATATACATATTTGTGTATGTGTATATATATATATATATATATATATATATATATATATATATATATATATATATATATATATAAGAAAGAGAGAGAAAGAGAGAGCAGGATAAGCAGAGAAAGAGAAAATCGTCCCATGATGCATATCTGTCCGATTTACCGTTGCTACACCTTAAGCCGCATGTAAATGGAAATATATGATGTAATATGCAACAGGAGAACAAGTGGCCGGATAGACAAACAAAAAAAAAACGAGAGACATTAATAAACAAATCACGAGAAAATGTGTAGATGGAGAGAAAGACAGATAGATAGACTTCTGGAGTCAGCAGTTTGATAGAAACACAGAAATTGTTGTTTACAATTATATAAAACCTTAACCCACAAATATAACAAATGTACATGTTGTTGTTGTTGTTGTTTAGTTTACCGATTATTTTTTCATTATCATTTCCTGTAAAAATAATAATAATGATTAATAATAATAATAATAATAATAATGATAATAATAATAATAATAATAATAATAATAATAATGATAAAAATAATAATAATAATAATAATAATAATAATTATGATAATAATAATAATAATAATAATAATAATAGTAATAACATAATAATAATGATAATAATAATAGTAACAATGATAATAATAACAATAATAATAATAATGATAATAATAATAATAGTAATGATAATAATAATAATAATAATAATAATAAGAAGAAGAAGAAGAAGAAAAACAACAACAATAATAATAATAATAATAACAATAATAATAATATTAATAATAATAACAATAACAATAATAATGATAATAATAAACTTTTTATGCACCACTAATCAGACGACAATATACCCGATCTACCTGTTGGTGTCTCCCTGTATTACACGACCTGTTTTTTTCCTCGGGTCTAGTCTTGTCTGCTGAACCTGTCTACCTAGTACGTTGTCTGGTATGGCTAACTGCATCCTGTAATGCACTTGTTTGTGTATGGTTTTGTTTATGTGCGAGTTTGTTTTGATGATTTTTTTTGCTATGTGTTCGTCTTTTTATTTCTCGCTCTGTTTGTCTTTGTATGTATGTCTGTCTACTTCTCTATCAGATATATCTATATCTCTATCTCTCTCTCTCTCTCTCTCATCCTCTCTCTCTCTCTCTCTCTCTCTCTTTCCTCTCTCCTCACTTTCTTCTCC